TTTGTACTCCTTTTGCCAACGGCGGTAACTCGCAATATTTCTTCCTGCGTCGCGGTGCGTTGGATGCCAAGGACATCATAATACGTGCCGCGCGTGTTTCGGTGTGGGTAACGGCAGCGCGGTGGAAGGCGAATGCGAAATGCTTCCATGCCCTCATCCCGGCGCGTCCCCTTTTGCGGTGAGACGTCCTTTGAGTCGTGTACGCTGCCGAGGAGGAGGAGCGTGTCGGTGCTGGAGGCAAGACTTGACAAGGAGTTATCACACAAATTCGTGTTGCTGCCGCTGATATCATACAGGCGAGCAGTCCGCTTACTGCGACGATTGGTGCTCGTTTTCTCCTTCTCACCGTGCTCGCCACCCAGTGAACGGTGGGCAACACCACCGTCTACGGCAGCCGTCGCGGTGTAATTGGCGGCGTTTCCATCCGTCGCGTAAAACGTGCGATCGTTTTTGTTGTTTCCGCTACTGCTGTTGCTGTTAAGTGGCGCCACAAAGTGCTTCGGGATGCTCTCTACCGGCACCGTCTCAAGGAGTTTGTTTTGCGTGTATCCGTTCAGCTCGGAGAAGTGATGCGCATGTTCACAACGGCTGTCAAAAGGGCACTGAGCCGCCTCGTAAAAGGCCACGCAAACACGTGTCTTGCCTCCAGCGTCCATCAACGGTGGTACAGCGAGATGCAGAAGCTCGGCAGCTGCGGAGGTGTCTGCCGCCTCCACACCGCGGCGCATGCCATCAGACGGAACAAACCCTGACTCGATAAATGAAAGCGACATGTTTGCGTCAATATTTTTCCCCTCGCCGTGCTAACTTATTTACAGTCTCACCCTCCCGTTCTTCTCTTCTTTATGACTCCGTCTTCTTCTTCCTACTATAGTATGTACACACACACACACTAGTTTTGATGGGACTTGGCTTCACCGGCCAAAAGACTTGTGCGTGGGGAGGGAAGGAATAAAGAAACAAAAAAAACACATGTACATTACACGCACGCGGTGATTCACAAATGAGGACCGCAATAAAACACCCCCACAACCATCATCACCACATATTCCTCCACAGCACGTGGAAAAACAACAACAACAACAACAAAAAGAAATAAACATATATACGCACGCAAAGGAAGTAAATAACTTCGTCTGTGCGAAAGAAGCCGCTACATAAACTCCTTCCAATAATAATTCGTAATTCCAACACCGTTACGCACACACAAAACCCACACGCATGGTGTGGCAGGAAAGCAGCAACGCACACACCGGCCACCCACCCAACATACAGACATACAAACACATAGACACCAACCCGTCCTTTCCTTCTCCTCCCCAGGCATTCATTACCGTCCAGCCGCAACGTTTTCAACAACAACAGCAACACACTCCTCTAAAATACCACGCGGTGTTTCCGGTGACGTCATTACTTGACACTGGGTGGAAGTGAGCAAAAAATGGCAAGAGAGAAAAATTACCCACAAGAGTCCATATATCACCAAGACGCGAAGCAACCATCACACCCATTGTAAACGGATATATACAGAATTCGTCCCTTTCTGTCTTTCCAGAAATAAACCCACATATTTGCACACTCCCTCCACCTTCTCTCTCTATATATATTATCAATCACTGTCACATTCATTCATTCATCACTCACTCCCTTGTTCATGTGTCTACTACCTACACTCACACCCCTAGCTTCCCACCCAATCTCCCATCCACACCCAGCCAAACTCCAATCCTTTCCCGCCCTAGATCCAAACCCCCATAAGTGTTAGTCCTCTTACTGTTTCATGCCATTTTTTTTAAATTTTCGCCTCCCCTTTTTTTCCTCCTCTCCCCTTCTTTCTTTCTTTCCCCCAATTCCTCTTCAAACCTTCTCACCCTCAACTCCATATTTTATTCCTTTCCACATATGCATAAAAAAATGCAACAAACACAGGGACGGCCAGCCTCTCCAGTCAACTGGATGAGCACACACAGCAAAAATAAAAATAAAGCAGTGAATCATGAATAAAAAAGCCGCGGTAAATGCAGGAGCAAGAGATCACACCAAATAAAATGTTCTAAGTGATGCATATCTAACCAGAGATTTCAAGTTTCACTTCTTCGGATCCTGCTTCTGTGGATTGTTTTGCACCGAAGACTTGAGCTCGGCGATGAGGTCCTCCGAAGTTTTGCCGCTGTAACGCTTGCCCGGCTGCATCCGCTGGAGGTCCTTGTCCACGGCAAAACGCTTATTCAAAAATTTCTTCAGCATGTCACCACGTGCCTTCTCCAAGTCATCGCGAATGCGGTCTTTGCGTTCCTTGTACGCGGCCGTCTCTCGTGCCATGCGTTCTGTGTCCATGCGCTTCAGTTCTGCCATCTCTTCCTGTGTTAAGGCCTTCTTGCGCTTGTCAAAGTCCTCCCGGACAACTTGTTCCCAGGGGCTGTTGTAGCCAAGTCCTTCCCTACCGATATTCTGGTCTTCCCGCGCAACCTTCTTAACCTGCTCCGGGTCCAGCTCCCAAAAACGCCACTCGTTCCACTTTTGCGCTGTCTCCAACTCCCTCCATGTCACCTGGAGAATGTACTCCACGGGCCACCCCCAGAAGTACCGCTTCTCCAAAGTGCACCAGTCATCCTGGCACTCCTTGATTCCGTGGTTGATGCGTTTCACGAGTGTCATGGCGATATTGTAGTACGTCGACTCGGGCGGAATGTCGGAGGTGGTCAAAAACGCCTGCAACTCTGCCGCCGCGGCAAGCAGCTTCGGCTTCCATAGCGGTTCTACTGCAACACCTGCCAAGCCCGTTGTGGACTTCACCGGAAAGGCACGCGGGATATATTCATCGCTGATTGTGAACAGTGCGGCTGTCCGACGCAGTGCGGCCCGGAGCGAGTGTGAGCCCCGCATGCGTTTCTCGCTTCCTCGTAATGGTTATTGTTTATTGTTTTTTTTTCTTTTGTTTGTTGTTTGCTTGCTTGCTTGCTTCCCTCCTATTTCCACGGCGGCAACGATGCGTCAAGACAAATGTCACCGGCCCTTTATAGGCAAATTCCACACCCTTATATATGTATGTATGTATGTATATTTATACACCCTCTTTTTGCCACCGAGAGATCAGGAGAGAAACAAACAAAAACAAAGTGGAAAGGGGGCATTTTTCATGAGTCTGCAGAACGAAAATTGGGTGGAAGGAAAAACAGGTGACAGGGGCGTGTGATGAATTTAAACACACGCCGGCAACAACAACAACAAATAAGGAAAAGAGAAGCGAAGTAACAAGAAATACATGAACAAAGCCAGGAGCAGCCTCTACCGATCGCAAACAAACAAACATCAAGAAACTTCTTCTTGACACCACAGACGCCAATACCAATCAGAAGTCCACACCACCACCCCCAGTAGCACCAACAAGTATAAAAGAGCAGACAGTGGTCACGCATCGCACATCATAAACAAGATGTTGGCAAAAAGAACAACACCAACGTCTATCTCTATATACACCCGCACCACCAGCTACGCTCTTTAATAAATAGAAAAAAAAAAAGGAAAAAAAAAAAAAAAAAAGACAAACGCAGCAATCCCTCCAATCTTTTCCTTCCCTCTGGTGTATTTAGTACACAAAGAGCATCCTCATCGCAATAACAAAACAGCCAAGCGCTACCCACAAAGAAAGTCTATCGCCAATGACACTACACTTGTAAAGAAACTTGCGGTAAAGCTCATTATGATCACGATGAAAAAGTGTAGGCCGATACTGTCGCAGGTAAGTCGCCGTGCAAATGACAAGAAGAAGCACATAGGCGATCGTTTCAAAATCAAAGAACGCACTCATGCCTGCTATGCCCCCTTCCACCCTAGTTTCTAATAGAGACAAAGGCACTTCCTGTTTCATATGTAAAATAGGGGGGTAAAAAAAAAGGAAAACAATGAAAACCCATAAAACAACATTGAAACAAAAAGAAAAAGAGAGACAAAAAAAAAAAAAAAAAAAAAAAGGAGAGGAAAGGAGGGGTAAGAGCCTCGTGCGTAGAAGCCTCAACAAAGAAATTTGTACACTGTGGAAAGATATGTTGAGGAAATAAACTGCGGAAGGGAAAAACAATCAAAAAAAAAAAAACATCGTTCAAATAGTGCTGATGCATGCAAGCATTATATATCTATTGCAACGAGAGATGGAGAACCACAGAAATGTAACTTCTTTCCCTTTCTTTTTTTTGCGTGTCCGTTTCACTATTGCCACTTCCCTAAAAAAAAAAAAAAAAAAAAAAAAATTTTCCTCTTTCCTTCTTACCGTCGTGTTGTAAAGGATTCAGCAAATACATCGTAGGAACATACATTTGAAAGAGGAGGTGGAAGGGGGTATGCACCTCCCACCCAAACATAAACACAAAAATAGAGATGCTGAAAAAAAAAAAAAAAAAAAAAAAAAGAAAAGGAAAAATAACAATAATAATAATAATAACCACAACAAGAAGTTCCTTACGACTACAAAATAAAAACAATAATAATAACAAAACAAGATGTAAGCGGCATTTATTTATTTTTATTTTTATTTTTTGGTTTTTGTTATTATTATTTTATATATAAATATAAATATATATATATATATATTATCTTAACCTTTCCCCTTGGCGTGGAATTTCGAATCTGCACTTGGGACACCGATTACTTTCCTTGAACCATTTAACAAGACAACCATGATGAAATACGTGTCCACAGCCAATCTTAAGAACCAACGTTCCAGAGGAAAATTCCTCTAGGCATATTGCACATTCTTCCCGATGCTCCCCGGGCGCATTTCCTGACCCTTTCGCAGTTTCGTTTTTTGATTTGAGATTGCTGTAGGGAACACCTTTCATCCCACGAATCTGTTGCAACGGAAGACCAGTGGGTCTTCTTCCTTCGTCAAGCCGAAGCAAGTTCTCAAATGAAAAATCATTGATCTCCCAATCACCGTCATTACCACCCCTGCGTGTCCCTCCGGTTGTGTTTGCTGCAGCGTCAACGCCTAATGACACCCTCCTACGTCCTGTGATAATGTCATATTCAGCACCGCTTCTGTTTCTATGGGAATGCTGACCGGGCCGCATCACCCCCCTCTCCACACGAGCACTAAACTGAGGTGCTGCATTTGATGATGTTTGCATGGACACCTCAATGCGAGTGTAACTGGGGTCTTCAGTATGGCCTCTGGGTCCATCTGTTGAAATTATCTGTATATTCCTCTCTTCAAATGCAGCAGCTGCATCTAATGCAGCCTGAAAAGGTCCTCGATGCATCTCCATCATCTCATCAACCATCGATAACATACCGGTAATATGAGAATCCATCATAGAACTTGCCAATCGAGCAAAAGTGGAACGTACCTCACCCATACTGGGAGCCTGTCGCCGCAGCTCTTGTGATCGTGGTTGAGAGACAAATTGCTCCGAAACTTGTCGTGAAGTCCCAGGCACTAACTGCTGATTGTGGTGCGAGAAAGTCTGACTCAGTTGTGCTCTACCCCGTTGCGGTCGAACGGTCCCCACTTGCAAGTTTGTCACGCCACGTCGACTAATGCTGCCCTGAGCCCCTGTACCACGGGCTTCAGGCTCTCGCCTCGTTCGCACTGACAATGGGACAGGGAAACTGTCCTCCGGAAGAGGCCACGTCATAAATAAGGAAGGCGGTTGCTCTCTCGCGCGTAGGGCCCGGTTACTTTCTTGTTGTGCAACAATATGAGGGGGGAGGGCGTTCACCCAGTCAATGCCGTCGTTTAGATCTCCAAAGTTTATGCGTTGCATCGGCATCATATGTCCTTTTGTTGTTGTTGTTTTTTACAGCACTTTATTGCAGTTACCGCTGCCTTCTTCTGTAGAAGGGAAAAAAAAAGAAAAAGAAAAAAAAGTGAGACGCCAAGAAGACACAGTACACCCTCAATAACTATATCTATATGTTCTTTCATTCTCTCATCAAACGATACGGCGATGCCACACTCAATGAACTATCTTTTGCAGAAAATTATGTCAGATAACCAAAGGGATCTTCCCCGGTGAGTGTCACCGGCGGGCTGGGCAGAGGCGGCGGCAGGTCTTGAGACCATGTCTCAATTGGCTGCACCAAGCGGCGATTTTCCCACTCTGGCAACTGTTCCTGATGCCTTTGCCCAGACGGCATGAACTCCTCCCCTTCCACTGCGTGCTGGCGATCATCAAGCTTTTGTTTTAGCTCAAGCATTTCCGCCTCATACTGCTCCATGGTCGCTTGGGCCGTCTGCAGCCTCCGCTGGAGTGTCACTTGTTGTTTTGACATGGCGCTTCCGCTAGGTGCGGATTCTAAGAGGCGCTTTGTCAACATCTCCGAATGCTCGCGGAGTTTTTGTTCACTTCGCCGGAGTTCACGAAGCTCTCGCACAAGATCCATGTGCTTTGACATACTTACAGTCTTCGACTTCAGCGTATTGTTCTCCTTCTGAAGACGCTCAACAACAAGCTTCAGATTTTCAACCAAAGACTCCAACGCCTCGGCGCGACTCCGTTGCTGTGAAGTTCCCGTGCGTTTTGTGTTGGTTGAGTCTACCTGAATTATTTCCTCAATGTGTCGCTCCAGACGTCCAACCTTAAGTTGCAGCGCCTCACGCTCAAAGCGGAGATCAAGAATAATGCCGTTCTTTTCCAATAATTCCCGCTGCAGAGTTGCCCGCTCACTTCCGTTATCGGCCCTAGACGGGGCTATAGGGGGCTGCAAATTTGGCGTGAATTGAGAGCGACTGCTCAATTCCGCCGCCAGACGTTGGTTCTCCACTGTCAACTCATCGATACGTCTTTGCAAGTTGCGCATCTGCATCTCCTTCTTGACGCTTAGCTCTCTTCGAAGCGAGTCAATGACACTCTCTAAATGGAGAACAATCCGTTTGTGGGAACGTATATCAAGTGGGGAGGCCATATAAGCTGAATCCACAGACTCCGGATGCTGAGACCGAAGATCTGCCAACTCCTTCTTGTAGGATTCCGCTTCACTAACGACATTGTCAAAGGTCACCACACGCTTCTTGAGTCGTTCAACTTGGCGTCGAAGTTGTTCATTTTCTTCCCGTTGACGCTGCAGCTGATCTTGTTCACCTGATACGGCTGTATTTGGCACGGGGGAAACGGCCGCGGTAGAATCTGTCACAGGAGTTTTGCTCGAAACCGTTACAAAATTGCCTTGAACATGCTGATGCTCCTTGGCACGTTGCTGCCGACTGGCAGACGCTCGTGCCAGAGCAAGCTCCTTTTCCTCAAGTTCACGTCGGGCATTTTGAATCATGACACGCAGAGAGCGACTGTTATCGCGCTCTCCTCGTAGTTGTTGACGAGCCTCTTCCAGATCGCTTTCAAGACGGCGTACATTCGCCCGCAACGATGATATTTCATGCATGTTGTTTCTCTGCGCCTTTTCAATCTCTCGCTGTAGCATTGCTGCTATCTGCGGTTTGACAATAACGTTTGCGTTCGCGTCCGCAAGCAATGCACGAATGGGAGCGGAGGAAGAAGAAGTTGAACGGTGTGCTGGACGCTTTTGCACCTTTTCTTCCTCTCGCTTCTCTGCACTTTCAACTTTCAAGAAATTTCTTGGCATTTTTTCTTCCCTCTCATACGTGTCCTGTTTCTCCTCTTTCACGGTATACAGGAGTTGCCTTCCCTTTTCATGCTTGCCTCGCACCGCATGGAGGGACGCGGGGTGGGTGCCGCTCAACTCGCGCTTAAGACGCAAAATTTCTTCTTCTCGCTCCTGAAGCTGTCGGTGCAAATCATACGCCAATCGCTGTGCCTCCTCATGCTTCTTAAGAGCCTCCTCTTCTCGACGGACTTTCTCCTCGAGCTCCTGCTGGATCGAGTGTAGCCGTTCGTTCACGGTCCTCAACTTTTCGGTGGATTCCAACTGAATGGAACCCATCCGCTGCGCCAACGCAATTTCATGTTGTCGTTTGCGTGAATCATCACCACGTTGTTGTGCCTGCTCAATCAGTTTCTCCTTTAGCATTTTGGTTGCCAGGATAAGCTTCTCATTCTGCTCCTCCATTCGCCGCATATCGACGTTAAGAGCTTCATTCATAGCGACAAGGTGCCGAGCTCGCTCAACGTCAGCTTGTTGCCTTACAACTTCCTCGCGTAAGGCATCCAGATGAGATCGCCATCCACTGGTATCCGCCTGCAGTCGGCGCGCACTTTGCCGCTCTTCTTCCAACTGCGCCCGCGTCTCCACAAGTTGACTCTCCACAAAAATCAACTGCGCCCGTAATTCTTGTTCCACCGACGAACCTGTCATTTCCAAAGTTGCGACACTCTTCAGGACCCCACCCTGCTCCACAATAGTATGGCGAACCTCATGTAGCTGCTGCTCCAACAAATCCCTCTCATTTCTGTATCGTTGCATTTCACGGGTAAGAGAAAATTCGCGTTGACGCAAACTCTCTATTATAGCATTCTGATCCTTAATAACGCCAACCACAGAAGCCTCAGCTGTTGCTTCTTTCTGTGGCGCCTGCTGAGGGCTGTAATTGGGTCCTTGCTGCTGCTGCAGCAGCTGATTCTGTGACTTTGTCACCTGTTCGTTCAGTTGGGCCTCAAGCATAATGTTTGTCATGCGTGCATCCTTTAATTCCGCCTTTAGACGTAATGTCTCTTTCGTAAGCAGTGCAAGTTGTGCTGCCACTCCATCCGGTGATGCGTCACACACAGTCGCCCCTTGTGCCGTTGTGTTATACGTGTAGTTCTCCGTCACACCGTCAATGGCCTCGCGGAAACGCTCCATCATGGCGCTATTCTCCTTGAAGAGGTGATCATGTAATCGCTCCATGCGTGAAGATTCTTCAAGCTGATACTCAAGATACTTTCTTCGCTCTGATTGAAGCTGTTCTTGAAGCTGTTTGATGCATGCTTCTTTATTCTGTAACATGTCCCGAAGACACTGGCTGTTGTGTTCTGCTGCACGACGTGTTACCTCTACTTGTGCTTCATGTGATCGTATAATTCGCCGCTCGCGCTCCTCTCCCTTTTGTCGTTCTTCCTCCAATTGTCGTTGCGCGTACTGCAGACGTCCCCTGAGGTGATTCATTTCCTCCTTTAGGGACTCTGTCTCGGTACGCGCCTTCTTGCTTTCGGAAACTTCGTTTTCCCATCGCTTCCTAAGCAAGTTTAATTCCCGTTTTAATTCCGCCTGTTTGTCAAGTGCCAGTTTGTACTCCTGAATTGCGGTGTCTGCACCCCCGTCATCCATGTCACATAAGCCACCTCCACTGGATTGCATAATGAGTGCCGGCGATTCCACCTTTGCAAAGACAGTTTCCTTTAATTGCAAGAGGTTCTGAAGTATGTCTTCATTTAGTGAGACACCACCACTGGCCCGCAACTCTAAACGAGCCAATTCCTCGGTCAAATTTTGTATGTGCGACTCAGCCCTTTTCAATTTTTGTTGCATGTACTGATGATCCTCCTGTAGCTCCACAAGCCGCATGTCTTTTTCGCGAACAGCAGAAAGGGAAGTCAACAGTTTGGCGTGAAGTGCATCTTGGCGCTCCTCAAAGTCCTTTGCTTTGAGAAGATCTAATTGCTGCTGCAAAAGGTTTACCATTCCGTCACTCTCAGCGAGCTTTGAAGCCATCTCAATTTGTCTGGCCTGGCCGCGCTCAACATCTGCAATAGCGTCAACAAAACGTTTGTGCATCATTGCAACACGATGCGGAGAAATACTACCCTTCACTCCTCGTTGCAGGCCACGAACATAGTCCAAAACAGACACCATCTGTGCAACATAGGTCCGGTAGAGACGAAACGCACTAAGCCTGTACGAGGTAGCCTCATTCACCGCCACACGCAGATTTGCCTCGGAGGCATAAAGTTGCATTCGGGTCCGTTTTGCCCGAAGCAACGATAACTCACTTTGCCTACGTAACGCTGCATGTTGCTGAATAGCAGCAGATACAAAGTCGCTTATTTTCCTGGAATCTCCCGCGTCTCGTACGAGCGAGAGTTCTTGCTTTGTGGCCTCTAGTTGAATCTCCAGACGCTTGAATTCTCCTTGTAAATCGAGAGAGTGATGCAAAAGACCCAAATTGATGGACTTCAGACGAGCCACATCGCGTTCTAGTTGCCGCACCTTGTTATCCACAGTGGTCCCGTGACAAATTTGCTTCGTTTCACACTGCTGCTTTATTTGCAGTTCTTCTTCATCTTGTTTTTGTTGTTGTCGTGACATTTCTTCTTTTTGCTCCTGAAGGACAACACCCAGCTTCCGCGTGACACCCGTTGTGTTGTCGTTCCGACTGCCACAACTGAGATTATGTATGTGTTCCTGCAAAAACGCCAACTCTTCCCGGGCCTCCCCAAGTTCAGCTTCGAGTGTAGACACCTCTCGTTCCTTGTCCTCGCAACGTCTCATGTAAAGCGTACACTTTTGACGTAATGTTGTGGCCTCTGTTTCCCATCTTGCGGCCTCCGAAGCTTCATTCCGGTGCGTGTCGGGGGATTCTTCATGCGCTTTCCGGAGACACTCCAATTCAGCTCGCAATTCATTCATCTCAATTTTCATCTCTTCAATTTTTTTTTCCCCATCTTTTTCACGGACTCGTAAGATGTTCAGTTCTTCCATTTGTTCCATGTTACGATAGATTTCATGAAGCTGCAAAAGGTATGCAGAGTCCTCCTTGAAGAATTTTCCTCGTAACGCCCCTTCAAACCGCTGTTGGACTTCCTCAAGAACATCTTTCTCTACGCAAATAACACCGGAAGAACGCGGGAGAACAAATCCTGTAGACGTATTATCTAACGCCTCCTTAAGAGACTTAAAGGTGGTATCGACGTATTCCCGCATCGCTCGCTCTGACCTCAACGCCTCTTCTTGAGTTTCTCTTGCACGACGCAAACGCTCTAATAATTTTCCCTCACGTTGTCTTAGCACAACAATCTTTTGAAAAATTTGGCGTGTATTGTCCGATTCAAGACGCTGCATCGCTTCTTGCAGATCTTCTACAATCTTGTTTTTTTCATCCAATTTGCCGCGGAGCTCCTCATTCATTTGCTGGATCGCCAATAGTTGATTCCGGAGGTCCTCCTGCGCCGCGCACGCCTCTGAGAGTTGCTCCGTTGCTTTTATTTTTGCCTCACGATGCTGCGCCGCCCCATTTTTTGCCGCCTCAACGGTCCCTTTAAGAGAGGCAATAAGCTCATCCTTCACCCGAAGTTGTTCCTCAAAGGTTTGCAAAAGGGAAGCGAAAAAGGGAGATCTCGGGGAAGCCAAATTCTCCTTCTGCACAGCAGGCAATGACGGTAAACAAGGGGCATCGCTGGCACCCCCAAAAACGGGAGCTGCCAAAGAAGAAGGGCCCTCCATTTTTCCCACATTTGACTCGTGCCGCTGAGCTTTTGTTACGGCATACGGTGTGGTCCCTAGTGATTCAAAAACAGCGGCACGGTATTGATCACGTTCGCCTATCAGCATGTCCCGCTCTGCCGTCACAGCTGCCAGTTGTTCGCACAGCACCGCCTGAGAAGCCGCATGTTCCTTGATAGTGAGCTCTGACTGCTCCAAAAGTTGTGCTGCGCTTTGAAGCTGCATACGCAACTGCGCGGCATCTAATGGTGGCTCTTCTGTCGAGCCCATTGGTGGAAGGGTGGTGATAAAGTCAAAACGCTCCCGCAGAGCATTTAACGCCGACTTTGCTTCTGATTCAGATTTTAAATCCGTTATTCCAAGCACTTCTCGCAAAACCTCCTCAATTCGATGACGGACAAAAGCGTTAAAACGTTCCATCTCTTTTCGCCGAAGCTGCAGTTCTTGGAAATACTTCTCCTTGTAGTTATCCTCTGCGTCCTCTTCGATGATCAGTCTTCCTGACTTCATCTGATCCACCATCTGGTCTAGCTGCCTCAGTTGTTCTGTGGAAAGGCCCAACTTGAGTCGAAGCTTCGTGTCAAGCAACGGCTTCAAACGAACCTTGTCCATCCAATGTCGGCGCTCCTTTTCCAGCCACACTACTTCATCCTTTAATGTGGCCACCTCTTCTCGTAGCGTTTCCACTTCACTAAATAGTGGCGTGTTTTTTGGACGAAGACGGTCAATTTCTTCTTGTGTGACACCTATGCGGATGCACAATTCCTGAAGGGCATTAGAAAATGTTAAAGAATCCTCCATTGCGTTAAGCCTCTCATGTAGTTGCGCGTTTTCATCTTGAAGTAGTTCTATGGATCGGTTAGAATCGGCCAACTCCCCGCGTAGGCGATGAAGGCCTTCATCACCGCGTTCGTATTCCTTCAGTAGACGTTGAATTTTAATGATTTCCGCATCCCGTGATTCAGCTCGAATTTCCATTTGTTGTAACTCTGCTGCAAGTCGATCATTCTCCTGTTGAAGTCGCTGTCGATCCGCTATTAACCTTTGCCTGGTGCGACTGTCCGACTCAAATTTGGAATGAGGGGAAATGTTTGGAGGAAACGAAGACATGCTTGCACCGACAGACAACGAATTCTTCCCAACACTCTCACTGTTTTCCGTGGTGTCGCGGTCAGACAGATGTCCAACCCCAAAACGTCGTTCCAACCGTTTTCGCAGTGTAGAATTTTCCTCCTCCAAATCTTTTACCGATTGCTGTAGTTCCTGAACGGCCTTTTCTATACGACATTGACTATCATGTCGCAGTTTCTGCAACTCCTCCGCCAAACCTTGAGAACGTTGCTTTTCCTCCTCCACGATATCATGGTGAAGCTGTTGCAACTCACTCATGTCCCGCAGCGCTTCTGCTTCCCTCTTTTCACAAAGCTCCTCGGCACGGTCACGTGACTGAACTAGATCGTAATTCTCCTGCTGAAGAGTCCGCAACTTCTGACGCAGTTGGTGCAGTTCAGTTTCTTCATCTCGCCCCCTAGCTTTTTCTGAACTTCGAAATTCCTGCAGCATCTCATCAGTCTTCTTAAACTTTTCCATGAGCCGCTTGTGTTTTGAGGCAAGATGCTCGTATTCAAGACGAAACTTTCTGTCTTCACTCGCCATCTGGCGTTTTTCTTCATTATAACGCCGGACTATGTGGCGAAGTTCCTTGTTTTCTTGCTTCAAACGATCCAATTCCCTTGCACATTTCTCCAGTTTCTCTTTAACACGTCTTTTTTCTGCACCAGAATCCGAAATATAGAGAGGTAACATTTCCCCTGCCTCGTCTCGAGTAATCCCCTTCTGCTCCAGTAATACACAAAGGTCATTATTTTCCCTCCGTAGTAGCTCTACACGAGCCCTAATAGCTTCCTCAGCATCCCGTGCAGCAGATGCAGAACGCTCCAGTTCTTCCTTCTCTTGATGAAGACGTTCTAACTTGTGAACAAAGTGCACTGTAATTAGACGCAGCAAACGCACAATGGCAGTTGTATATTGTGGCTGAGAAAAATGTTCATCTTCTACACTCCATTTTATTCTGGAAGCTCTCTGAACCCACTCATTCAGATCAGGAATGTTTGGTGTACGTTCCCACTCGTCAAAAGGGAGTGCAGCAAGAGCCGCCCAGTCAATATCGACATTATCAACTGGGGAATTCCGACCCCTGTCGGGTGGTCCATTGCTCATCAAAAAAATAACACTTCTACGCTTCGTAACAACCAAATAAAATAATAATAATAATAATAATAATATAATATAATATAATCATTATTATTATTATATTATTGTTATCACCGTAATAATACACACACAAAAAAAAAAATAATATTATTAATAATAAAAATAAAAATAAATAAATAAATAAATAAATAATAAATAAATGAATAATAATAATAATAATTAGAAAAAAGTTGGAGAATATATCCTTTTCTCAAGATGTGAGATATTAAAACGGCAACCACTGTTTCTTTTTCTTGTTTGTCAAATTTGACCACGGTAAGGTTTTAAAAAAATCCACCTTTCCATGGAACACATCTCATAAGCCGATTATGTACCTAGCAAAAATGCTGAGAATAATAATAATAAATAAATAAAATAAAATAAAATAAATAAATAAATAACTAAGTCAATATATCTATGCAATCAATCAATCAATAAATAAATAAATAAATAAAAGGCAATAATAACAATAATAATAATAGTATTAATACTTACTTTCTTCACACGAAAAGAATACTGACAGAAAAAAAAAAATAAAAATAAAAAAATAAAAGATACATATCCGCATATCCGTTTTCCAGCCAAAGTGTATACTTCATTTAATGGCAGTCAAGTATTTCCTTTTATTACCATTGGAAGTTACATTAAACATGCGTATAAACACATATATACGTGCTTTGTTTCTACAGCAGTAAACCAATTTTGAATACAATAATAAGAAACAGTCACCACAATTTTTCTTCTTTTTTTTTTTTTTTTTTTGGAAAGAACGATACGACAAAAATTCCGTTGTAACATCAGTCAGTGATATGTACCAACAACAAAAGCACGGCCACAAAAACAAAGAAACATCTACGCAATACCACCCTCCCAACAAGAATCAACGCATTGAAGGCGCTGAAACGCGCACCGGTGGGCTATTTCCTCACTTTTCCAGCCTCATTTGTCATTTTTTCAAATTCAATCGCTATGTAATATGATCTAAAAAAAAAAAAAGAAAAAAAAAAACAATAAAAAAAAAATAATAATAATAATAAGGACCAAGAAAGAAAAGCAATGAACACAAGCAAAAACAATGATAACCAGGAAAAAAAAATAATTTACATTCTGAAAACTGTGTCTAACCCAAAAAATCTGAGTATTAACAATTCAATAAAATAATAGACGCTATGGCCTTGTCGAAGACCAAACAGCACAGCGTTTTTGTCTAATGCAAACAGATCGCAATGCCTAATTCCGCCTTTCTTCAAAGGAGATCCTTCAAAAGACCACTCTTCAAAGATCAAATTCAGACGTCAGTAAAGCTTACTGAAATCGACATTACAAAAGAAGAGTTGAAGGGTGTATAGGTAAAAGTATAACCGGCAAGACATACAGATAAAAAGATTTTTCTGGCCAGAATTATAGTGTTAAAATAATTTCGCTCCGACTAGTCAGAAAAAGTAAAAAAAAAAAAAAAAGATACCATTCGCCCTCGGCCTACTTTTTTTTTCTTTTCCTTGCTCCTCCTTTCTCCACATTTTTGATTAACATTATCACCTCCAACGAGCAATAAAAACGGAAAAAAAAATTACGTTGGGAATAAAATACCACAACGTAAACAGCAATATTGGCCCCATATTTTCCGCTTTTTTCTTTTTTTAACTTTTTATTTATTTATATATTGTTTTATGCAGCAATTTTTTGGGAAAATAGTCGTAAATAGTGCCGAAAGTATACTCCTTAGCGCTACTGTAGATAACACCCAAAATACATGAGTCATTTTGCTCCATTAGCACATACATTTTCTTTTCGATCATTTCCCTTGTGTGTTGTTTCGTCCCGCTTTTCATTTCCTCCATCCGTTCTCGTATCATACACAGCACCAGCAAAGGTGCGTCAACACAACCAGTCACTCCATACACTACCCCATACTAACAATATAACAGCTAGAAAAACTCTGAAAATAAAGGGGAAAATAGCAATCAAGAAACAACGGCACGTTTTTCCCCCATCCAACTCACTGACGTGTTCCAGCTACGCCACCTCTAGCAACTCCAGTTGTGCTGGGAAATTCATCCTGCGATGCTCGTCCAGCCAAGGGAGCCAAATCACGATTGATACGAACATGCTCTCCTGGCTTCCAAACCGCCACATCCAATTTATAAACATTGATAAAATCTCCAAGATCGGTCTGAATGGAAGCGTGTTTTAACATCGGACAAGAAACAATAAATTGAGGCACGGTCATTGAACTATCGCACAGATTTCGAACAAGATCTATGAGAGCAGGAATAGTATTATCAGGAGCCTCACCACCCTCATAGTCCTCCACAAGAATACCATTCTGTTGGTATCCTCGAATACAATCTGGGGTATTCTCAATTATAAGTACTCGGTCAAGAGGTCTTCCAAGAGCCGATAGATCCTTTTGATATCCTGCGTAACCCGTAAACCATTTGCTGTGACGGTATATGCAATGACATATCACCCTTCCCTTGTCAATGTTTCTTATAATTGCTTGAGCATAGGCTCGAAGACCCGCCGTCCAAACAACAACTTCAACACATTTCTCCCTACAAAGCTTGAAAAATTCATCCAGACCAGGACGAGCGTAAAGAGGTCCCTCCCTTGCATACACCAAGGTTTCATCAAGGTCGAGGGCTAAAGTCAGCTTCCCCCGATATCTTGGGTCTTGCTCAGGAAGAACCCATTTACTGTTGAGTTCTTGATTCATTGACGGAGCACGTTGACGGGGCCTTCGTGCAACTGCGGACTGATACTCTTGTTTAAAGGACGCCCCACGGATCCTTTGCCGAGGAGGTGTGGTCATTTTTTTTTTTTTTTTGCCTTATTTTACCTTGTTAATTGACAACGTAGCGGGCAGGACTATTAAGTCCAAAAAGTGACGGAAATCAGTTGAATTTAATAATAATAATAATAATAATAACGACTGTTGAATCGCTCCTAGAAATCACTACCTATAACACGATAACAACATTAAAAAAAAAAAAAAAAAAAAAAAAAAAAAAGGAAAAGCATAAATGTAAATAAAAGTACTAAAAAGAAAAAAAAATACATATACCAAAAAAGGAAAATTATAAATAGTTACATTAATATATATATATATATATGATTTTTTCACAACATGTCGTCAACACAGAGAAAAACAAATAATCAAGAACTCATTACAATTAAACAACATATTAATTAATGAATGAATTAATTAATTAATAACAATAATAATAACATCACATTATCTTAATGAGGCTCACAATCATATATATAATCGGGCAAAATCATCATCAATAATAATAATAATAATAATAATAATAATAACAAATAATTAGAAAAAAGTTTTCCCCTTTCTTACTCTAAACCAAATTGAACAACAACAAAAAAAAAATTGGGTGCCCATTTTGTAGCAAGAAAAATATTCTCTCAGGGAAAATCAGAAACAAATTCTCTAAATTTTGACGCAATTGACATTTTCCAGCTCTTTTTAAAAAACTCTTTCGTTTACCGATTAGAAGCGACGTGTTGTTTTTCGACTTGCGTGGATAACGGCGAGTCGTTGTTCCGAGATTGCGGCCTTAACGCCCAAAAATTTTCACACTGGAGGCGGACGGGACCATAATTTTGGATTGGCCCGTGGCGCCGAAGACGGCAAGGGCGGATCCCCACCGCGCCTCGCGGTTCGTGAGGGTACGAGGGCAGGACGCCTTCGACATTATAAATTTATGCAGGACACTTCAAGAAAACGAAAAGCTCACGAATCTGACGACTGCCAAAGTCGAACGAGCTCTGGCTTCTTAAAATGCCACGGCGCATTCCATAAAACGCGGCGCGTTGCGGCACGCCGCTCAAACCGTGGAGACATACAATTTGAAGCCACACGTGATCTCGCAGTTGGCGAAGCACGTCGATCCGTTCGAACTTCCCCAGAATACTGTTTGATATTTGGGGAGGTACACCACAATGCTGACCCAGGTGCCGTCGCTGGCCGCATTGATGTGAAGGGAGACACTGCGGAAGGGCAGTAACCCTGGTTGAGAGCGGAGGGGCGTTTTTTTCATGATTTTCATCATCATGCTGCTACAATAACGGGAAGCGCGACAAGGACGCGTCCGACCACCCCACAAGATGAACACGCTATCCCGTTACAGCAAGTCAACGTGCCTGTATTGAATACCAAAGTGGATCATGAGCCGGTTCAACCCGGCTACATCGGAGAGGCTCATGCAAGTTTGGGGACTCGTCGGGCGGTCCCTTTCCCTCAATCCTCCTCCGGTAAGGCGTGCGAAGGCTCACGGAGGATTCCAGTCGCTGACGCGCGTTTGTTGAAGGAAGCAGGAATTATCGAGGACGCTTTGTCTGCAAGAACAAGCGGATGGATAATACCTTTTTCGGTTGTGGAGGAGAAAGCCACCGGTTTGCGACGACGATGGATCGCGTGGCCACGTGACAAGAACAGAGACGACCCTTATGAGGCTGATTTTCCTCTTTTACACATTTCCCATTATTTGCTGCCTGTAATGGCTGAGGCCGCTTCCTGCCTGGATTTAAAGGCATCCTTTTTTCAAGTCTTTACCGCGGGAGACTCGGCATCTCTTTCGATGCCGCGTGGAGGACGGCACGCTGGTGGAGCTTACACGGCTCCCTATGGGACACAAGGCCAGTCCAGAAATCATCCAGATTATTACTTCGGCAATTGCGGGGGTGACGACGGTGGCTCACCGCCTTTGGGCTGCGCCTCCATTGGTGCGTATCGTCGTATGGATCGGTAATATACGCATTGCAGGGTCGAAGAGCGATGCGACATTGTGGGAAGCCCAAGTGCTTCGTAATGCGGACAGTTGTCACGCCACGACAGGGGAGGATCGCGAATCGGGCGCTACGCAGTACACCTTTCTGGGGTGAAGTTTGATCACTCACCGCGCGGCATACCTGAGCGAAAAGTTTGTCCGGTCTGTGTGCGCCATGCCGGCACTCAATTCTTCAACCATCGCGGAACTGGAGGTTACGGCGTCACGCTTTTTGTATGCGGCCGCCATTTTGGGCACGCGTTTATGTGCATACTACTTTTTCATTAAGGCAGTGCGACGGCGATTATCCGCACTTAATCGGGGATTGTGATGGAGACATCCCCGGTCAACCTTCCGCCTTCAGCGGTTGGTTTGGGCGAGGGATTGCGACACATCATCGGGAATAATTGTGGTTGAATCATCAAGCCCACTGAAAAGGCATCTGCCACCGTCATCACGGACGCATCGCTCCATGGATGGGAGCCGTTTTAATTCCAGACTCCGGCGACGTTAAAATTGCCGGAGGGAAATGGAAGAGACCTTTCTTATCATGCAAGCCGAGGCGCGCGCGGTACGCTTAGCCTTATCGGCCTTTTCCGCCATCTTGCCATCCACCATGGACGTTTGGGTGGACAACACTTCGCTGCAAGGAGCGGCGAATAAAGGCAGCTCGAAATTACACGCCATGACGTGTGAGCTGCAACGGATATATGGTTTTTGGACTTACGCGGAATACAGGTATCCTTTGCATACGTACGGTCAGCAGAAAACCCCGCAGACGGCGTGTCACGCGGTCGTGTTTTTACACTTCAGGAATTGACGAAGAGAAGCGGCGGGATCGCGTGGCTGGAGGACCCCAAAGTCTGCCACTTCGTAAGTAATAATATTTCAGATCCTAACTGAGGACAAAGCACCATGCTAGTGGTCCACAGAATTTTATATAATGAAAAGAAAACATTGAGGCAATTAACTAACGAACCTTTTTTCCTAACTTGTTTGGTTTCCATAGGTTATTTCTGGATCCGGCCAACAGCCCGGAAGATTATTCTCTTTTTTTGTGTGCATGCGGCTTTTGGGGCGTTTTTTTTTGTAGCTTTTTGAATGTTAATACTTATGGATGGACTTCTGCTCAAGTAAAGTATGTTCCTTTTCTCTTTCACGGGATGGCTGCTTGAAGATGTTTTTTTATGAATGAATTGAACGTTGGCCGCCTTTTCACGCTCTTTTTTTTTTCATAATAATCTGATCATTGCTTTTTTTTTTTTTTTTTTTGTTGTTGTTGTTGATTACCTTTGTTTTTAGCGTTGATCGATTTGTGGAATATTACACACATGGCTTCTAAACAAGACCGCATTTCTGATGCAATGAAAGAAAGAATTATTCAGTTAGAAAAAGAGCTGTGTCAGTGCAAACATCACCTTTCTGAGTCAGTTCAACAAAAAGAAGCACTTGAATGTGATATAGACGCTTTGCAGAAGGAGGCACATGATGTTGTCGCTCAATGGGTTGCGAAGTCTAGTGAACTGCAGACGAAACTAGATGAATCGTTGTCGCAAATTGGGGCTTTAAAAAATGATCTGCTTATAAGTAAGAATAGAAATGATGATCTCCAGCATTGTTTAAAAGATGCAGATGCGGCAAATTGCTTACAAGTCGAGGAGTTACATCGTCTTAAAAAAGCTCAAGACGATCATGCTGCAAGGTTGGCAGCAATCGAAAAAGATTTTGCTTCTGCATCGCAGCAGAATATTCATTACGAAAATCTTGTAAGCAAGATGGATTTGGAAATGAAACAGGTTGTAGAAGAGGTGAATTCCTTGAGAAAGGAGAGGGATACGCTGGTTGAGACTGCGGCTGAACTTCGAGAAGAGAATTGTCGCTTAGAAGCAGCTCATTTTAAGGCAAAAAACTTTATTGGACTTCTTGAGGATAAATTAGCTGGCCGTCAACAGTTGCTGCATCAGTTTTCTTATAAAATGTTACTTGATGAAGAGGAGCGTCACGCTAGGGATGAAATTGTTTTTCAGTGGGGAACACTCTACGTAAACGTCATTTTGGCTGAAGCAAAGCACCATATTCAAAGTAATTCTTTTTTACAAACGAAGCACCAGGAGCTTGAAGAGGAAATAAATCTTTTGCGCAAAGAAAAGACTTTGCTTGAAACAGAATTCCATAAAAAGTCTAATGAATTGTCATCCTTGCGTCAGGAGTATGATAAAACGACTGGTGATCTGTCTCAACATGTGTGTTTATTAGAACAAGATATAGCAGAACTTCAAGATGCGCAAATTGGCCAAAAACAGATTGTGGAGCTCTTACAAAAGGAGCTTGAACTTTCTACTGCGCAAAACGAGCTTAATAAATCATTAAAGGAAGATCTTTCCACTGAGTTTAAGGCAGTAAAAGATTGCTACTCTTCATTACTTTTGGAGTATAACGAGCTGAGAGTAAACGAGCAAAGGCGTCAACAAGAGCTTAATGCAAAAATCACGTTTTTGACTGAGGAAAACAAAAACATTAGGGCTGAAAACGATGCTTGTTTCCAGGAAGTTATGAAGGAAAACACAAACCTCCGTGTATATTTGGCATCCACAGAAAGAAATAACTTGGAACATATAGAGCGTGGGGAGAGGCTGACCGTGGAGGTGTTTCAGAGCAATGAATGGGCGTTACTGTTTTCTGATTACAGCGCTCGGTTGGTGAATTGGTTAAATGAGAGCAATGAGCAAATTTGGACTATGCGCAAAGAAATGAATTTAAAGGAGACTTCTTTGAAGGAAAAGGAGGATATGAATTGCGCTCTATGCGAAAAACTAGATGCATTGGAAAAAGGATTTTCCTCGAAGCAAAATGATATCACGCAATTAGAGTCCAAAGTGGTGGAGTTGTCATCTGAGCTAAAATCTTCGAAAGAAACTTGTGAGGAGACTGTCAACGACAACACTTGGCTTAAAGAACAGGTAGAGACCATGCGAAGAGAGCTAGGTGAACTCGACGAATTGCTGAACTCTAATCTTAACGAAATGAGGGAAGATTCCGAACGACAGCAAATGGAACACGAAAGACTAATAAAAGAGATTCACCGTTACGAAGACCTTATTCGACAGTCCCAAGAGAAGAGTAATTTGTTGGATGAACGCTGTCACATTCTTTCTACTGATAACGAGGCAATTTCCAAAACCCTGTTGCTAACCGAGGACGAGTTGTCAAATGCGAAGAAGGAGATTGCAGTTATGCATCAGCGCGAGAGAGTTCTTTTGGAGGAAAAGCGAAAAATAGAATTAAATTTTATACAACTTCAAAAGAAACATGTAACGGCGGACAGTCAAACAGCTCTTTTGCAAGAGCAACTACAAACTCAGGAAGCGAAGTTACAAATTTTGGGTAAATCTTCTCGCCAAGAAATGGAGAATATGAAAATGAAGTTGAACAATTTTATAGAGAAGTATGAAGAAGCCGAAGCAAGAGTGAGTGCTTTTTCGAAATCTATGCGAGACTCTGAAAATATTCAGTGCAATCTACGAGAAGCATATCAAAGGGCAAAGGCTGCCTTGGAAGAAGCCAAACAGCGCTGTTCCAAGGATACGGAGACGATACAGAAATTGCTGGAGGAACGTCAGAATCTGGAAAACGAAAGGGAGGTTATTGTGCAGAAATACAACCGCGTCCAGGAAATGCTGAAATCTCTAAAGAAGGACAGTGTGGGAAAATTTCCCGACGAAATACAAAAGTTGTCTGATTTATGTTTTCAACAGGAGGTTGAGTTGCAGCAACTTCGTCATCAGAATATTATTTTGAAAAAGTGCATCAAAAAACTACCGGTTACTGCCAATGCCGATAACCAAATAGAGCGTCCAGTCTTTGTCGAACGTCTGAATTTAGCGGAGGGCCCTCTCCGTCGTCCGAAGAAGCGGTCAGTATTGAATGAGGATACAAGGTAATTGGAGTATATTTGGTTCATAATAGATAGAAAAAATGGAACCGAGGCTGATCCTTTTGTAGAGAGTCCATATGCATTGCAGATCAAATAATATGGGGGAAGGAGGGTTAGGGAAGCGGTTCTTTTTTGATTACTTTTTTTAAATTTATACATTTTTTAATTAGTTATTTTATTTTTATTATATATATATATATATATGGCTACGGTGGCGTTGTGTTTTTTTTTTTTCCTGCTATCTTTTTTTATTTTTTTTATTATTTCTGGTTGATTGTGTGTTTCCGTTCGAATCTTATCGAGGTGGCATCATGAAGGTGGGGAATCGGGATTATGATCCCTGTGTGAAGGTAAGTCTTGAGTTGGAGAGTCTTCTCCAGCACCACTTTCAGCAGAGACAGCACTCGAAGAGAATCTTGAAAGACCGCCTGCGTAAAGCTGAATTAGAAATTGCCTACCTTCAACAGAGTGTTTCCGCGTATTCAGAGGAGTTAAGGGTAGAACGCCTAAAATTTGATACCCTTCAACGCACTATGGAAGATTCTAAGAGAAATCATGCCGCTGAGCTCATGGAGCAAGACAAAATAATTAGAGACAGGATGTGTAACGTTGATACACAGGCCAGACTTCTTGTGGTTAAAACGGAAGAGTGTGAACGTCGAGCACAATGCCTGCAAAAACAAGAGGAGGAGCTGTTGAATCGTGAAAAGGAGCTAAGATTTTATCAGGCATCTTTTGAAGCAGGAATCATGCCGGCGCAAAGGCAAATTGAGGCGGAAAGAGTTCGTATGTTGCGCGCGCGAGAAAAAGCTGAAGAACTTCTGGAAGAAGCGAGAATATCTGCGTTGGCCACGGAAGAAAGAAGAAAAAAACTTGAGGCGCTGCATAATTTGGAAATGCAGTTTTTTGCCCTTGAAAAAGAGGAAGCAACTCAGCGGATTCAAATCATGCGGCAAGAAATTTTTGGACTAGTAGGCCTGATTTCTTTTCGAAGGACACATGTATCTGCTGCTGAAGGCGATGCCGCAAAAAGAATCCGTTTACTTGAAGAAGAACTTGCTTCCAAAAAGGAGGTGTTCGAACTGAGAGAAAAGGAGGTATATTTACGGTACCAACGTGAAGAGCAGCGTATGAGAGACGAGAGGAAAAGGATTATTTCCATTAAGGAGGCAATGCGACAGGATTATAGACTTGTTCTAGAAGGCATTCGTCTGTTTGGAAATGAGTACTCTACAGAACCTGACCAGTTACAGGTGGATGCATTGAAAGACCTTGAAAAACTTCTTTTTTCTGCATTAGATGATCATCAACTAGAAATAACGAAGAAACTGTAAGCCACAGCTTTCGTTTTTGTGTTATTATTATTATTATTATTATTATTATTTGTTGTGCGTTCTTACGGGTACTGTATGGTTGATTATGGTGTTCTACCTGTTTTTTTTTTTTTTTTTTTTTTTTTTTTTGAATGCAATCTTGTGTTTTTGGTGATGCTTGGCTAATAATCATATTAATTTATATGCGTGTATTTCTCTTTATTTTATTTTATTAAGGGGAAAAAAGGAACTGATTTTTTTGGCCTAATGGCGTACCGGCGGAAAGCTCCCCCTGTTGCCCAGTTAAGCCTCTTTCGCCAATTACAATTGATGTGTAATGCCACTTCCTTTGGATTATCCTTTCAAGTTCATAATGCACAGAAAATATTGGATCAACTAAAAATAAATAATGCTACAGCTTACACGCACTTTACGAAGAATGCAACCCGTCAAGACTTTTTCTCCAGCAGAGTCGTTACTGGCTCTGGTAGTGGCGCCATTATCAGAGATGCCCCAAAATTTACTTTACCCCTTCCAAATTATTTTATTAATCCTTCTGAAAAGGCCGAGGATTTTGTGCCTCGTGTGTTTTATCACGCCTCCATGGTGAAGCGTGCAGCTGAACTTCGAGAACAAAGCTACATGCCACGCTGCGGCTTGACTGGATTATTTTTCTCCCGAGAGGAAGTTGTAGACAACCTTCAAGCGGCTGCTGCAGAGCTAGGATTTAAGTCACCGTTTTGGATTAGAAACGACCACCCAGCTCTCGGCAACTTTCTTGAACTCAAAGACGGAAGTGAAGCCATATGTCTAAGTCTCACAGCGGCTATCACGGGTATGGATAGTGTGGAGTCTTTTTGTGAGGATCTTTGGCACCCCGATCTTCGGCGGGCAGTTGGTTCAAAAGGGCGTGCCTTTGGAAAAGATGTTCCGCTTGGGATGAATGCACTTTCGGGGTTTGTTACAAAAAATCCTTTTGTGCAAAGTTTGCCCAATCGTGGTGTGTGGATATCACAAGAACAAGTCCTTCAGAACAACTTGCAGCTGAAGAAAGAAAAAAGTGCTTCGTCAAATGACCCATTTGTGCTCGTCGAGGTGGAGCAATGGGAGATGCACAATGCGGATCAATTAAGTGTCCCTGGAAGATTAGCTTTGCACCGTTCCACGACAAAAAGTACCGGGAGCATATTTGTTTCTTCCTGAAACACGACAGAAATAGAAACTTCATAGAATACAAGAAAAAATGTAATGATACG